TAATCTTTTTTTTTTTCTTCTGTTCTCCTTGAATGACACTTGGGCATGTTTGATTGGTAGTATTAGTGTTACTATTTTATTGACCTGTTAATCAACAAGGCCTTAGTTTGAGTTTTATTTAATTGCATAAAACACATGTTTATTAGTTTGTATAGCATTTGATAACATTCGAATTATTAGTTTGTAACATTCGATAGCATTTGAATTTTATTAAGTTTGTAAAATTAATCATTTGGACTTAATTAATCCATTAGTTAAGTTTGTGTTAAAACCATTAAAATGGTTAGAAGTGATAGGGGTGGTGAGGGTGATGCACCATTAAATGAATTTTGTGCACAACATGGCATTATTCACTAAACTACAGCCCCCTATTCTCCTCAGCAAAATGGAATTGCTGAAAGGAAGAATAGAACCCTAAAAGAAATGATGAATGCCATGTTACTAAGTTCATGCTTACTACAAAACTTGTGGGGGGGAAACAATATTGTCTGCTAATTATGTTCTTAACAGAATACCCCACAAGAAAACCAACAACACTTCTTATGAATTGTGGAAAGGTCGACTGCCTTCCTACAAATACTTAAAAGTGTGGGGGTGTTTGGAAAAAGTTGAAATTCCTGTTCCTAAAAAGACTAAGATTGGACCAAAAATAGTAGTGTGTGTTTATTTGTTATGCTCAGAATAGTAGTACATATCAGTTTCTGACTTATAAATCAGAAATACCTGATATAAATGTGAACACTATTATAGAGTCAAGGAATGCTGTGTTTTTTTAACATGTTTTTCCTTACAAGAAAGGACAGGAATTAAGTTCACAGCAAAAACTTATGATTGTACACAAAGTCAAGAGACTAATGACAATCAAATACAAGAGACTAGTAATGGTCTCGACTAACAGGATTTAACTGATGATGAACCAAGACGAAGTAAGAGAGCGAGAACATCAACATCCTTTGGTCCAGATTTTCTGACATACCTGTTAGAAAATGAACCTCAAAGATTTAAGGAAACAATGACAGGTCCTAAAGCACTTTTGTGAAAAGAGGCTGTTAATAATGAAATTGAATCCATTATGCAAAATCATACTTGGAAATTGGTGGCTCTTCCACCAGGTTCTAAACCTCTTGGGTATACATGAATATTCAAGAGAAAAATGAAAGCAGATGATTCAATAGACAAGTATAAAACAAGACTTGTAGTAAAAGGTTACAGACAAAAGGAAGGTCTAGACTATTTTGATACATATTCTCCTATGACAAGAATAACATCCATTCGCATGCTTATTGCTATAGCAGTGTTGTTTAATTTAGAAATACATCAAATGGATGTTAAGACAACTTTCTTAAACGGTGATCTGAATGAAGAGATCTATATGGAGTAATCCAAAGGGTTTGTAGTGCCAGGGCAAGAAAAAAAAGTTTGTCGGCTCGTAAAATCACTTTATGGAATAAAACAAGCACATAAGCAATGACATGAAAAATTTGATCATGCTATGCTTACTAATGGGTTTAAGATAAACGAATGTGACAAGTGCATCTATGTTAAAAACACTAACCAAGGATATGTCATAGTTTGTCTTTATGTGGATGATATGCTTATCATTGGAAGTAGTCAAAACATGATCAAATCAACTAATCAAATGCTTAACAAAAAATTGGATATGAAAGATATGGGGGTCGCATATGTAATATTAGGAATGAAAATTACTAAAACATCTGACGGATATGCATTATCTTAATCACATTATATTGAGAAAATTCTTGGTAAATTTATCAAGGATGACATGAATGTAGCTAGAACACCTGTAGACATCAGTCTTTATTTATCGAAAAATAAAGGTGATGTGGTGTCTCAGTTAAAATACTACCAAATCATTAGAAGTCTAATGTACCTAATGAATTGTACTCGTCCTGATATAGCTTATGCTGTCAGTAAATTGAGTAGGTACACTAGTAACCCTGGAGAAGACCATTGGAAAGCAATCATTCGGGTTCTTAGATATCTAAGATTTACCCATGATCATGGTTTGAACTTTACTCGATATCCAGTAGTACTCGAAGGTTATTGTGATGCCAATTGGATATCGGATACTAAAGATTCAAAATCCACAAGTGGATATGTCTTTACTCTGGGAGGCGCTGCTGTTTCTTAGAAATCCACAAAACAAACATGCATCGCACGATCCACAATGGAATATGAGTTCATTACTTTAGATAAAGCGGGAGAAGAAGCAGAATGGCTTTGCCACTTCTTAGAAGACATTTCAATGTGGCCAAAACCTGTGCCAGCTATTTGCATTCATTGTGATAGTCAATCTGTAATAGGCAGGGCACAGAATCATATGTATAACGGTAAGTCACGACATATTCGTCGTCGACATAATACCGTAAGGCAATTGCTGTTAAATGGAATAATCTCAATAGATTATATAAAATCTAAAGAGAATATTGCAGACCCGTTAACAAAGAGTTTGACAAAAGAGCAAGTGGGGGATGTGGTTAAAACCTATTACATAAGAGTCATCATAATGGTAACCTTACTTATATGACTGGAGATCCTAAGAACTAAGTTCAAAGGGAGAACTAAGTTATGTGTGGCTCGCCAGAAATCACCAAGAGATTAAAATTCCCTACCCATTCCTATGGTAAGAGTGATATCTGTAACATGTGTTGTCTGCAGGGGTATAAGGATAAACTTTGCTTTTAACGATTACTTATATCTTGATTTAGGCATAAAATCAAGACAAGTATAACGAGATACTTACAATAAGAATCACCTATATGAGTGTCGAACTGTGGCTGATTTTATGAGAATGAAGATGCTAAATTCTCGAGAAGCACTCATAAAAATCAGGAGTGTTCAAGGCCAAAATGAACACAACAGTGAGAACCACGATGTGTTAGAAGATATTTTGTGTGAAATCTATTGTCTTGGCTTACACAAATGGCTGAAAAATTCAAGGCATCGCGTCCATTGGTTAGCTAGTAAGTCCGATAGGTTATCACTAGGGAAGGCTCAAAGCCGAAAGCTACCTATCCTAATGCAAGATATTTTTAATTTATACTCTTTCGACTAAGTCTGCATATTGTTGCATTTCCGTTGTCATCAAATTCCATTCATGTGGGGGATTGTTAGAAATCTTTTGAAAAAAAAAATTTGGGTAAAAACAAATTTTTTTCTTAACTTTAATCTATTTTTTAGGTGGGACCTGTTGTAGACACCCCATTTTTGACCGACCTTAAGACTCAGACGTCACCGATTGAGCACTTGGTGATGTTGCATAATGTGCTCGTTCAGAAGTTTCAGAGTTGCGGCCGTGAGCCCTGCCTCCGTACTTCCGAACCCTCTTTTGTACTTTGCCTCGGTTTGCGAACCAGGCTCGGTTTTCTTTGTTTCTTTCCCTGAGGGGAGGGAGAGGTCCCGTAGACCATCTCTCAGTGGCCGTAGGCTAAATTTGGTGGCCGTAGGCCATTTTTCCCATTTCGGAGTCCGGTTTCCGATTTTTTGGGACCGTTGGCCATGTGCCTCGGTTCGGGATCGCCTAACCACCTCCGTTTGTTCTGATTTTTGGCATACATCTTATTTAATCCCTTTTGAGGGACACTGGGGTCTGAGAAACCCACTTCGTGGTCGAATGCCACTTTCGGTGCTTAACAGCCCATTTTTGGGACCCCGAACTGCGCGTTTTGGCCCCCGAACATTCGTTTTGCAACGGTTTTCGTTCATTTTTGGCAGGTACCTCTGTTTTATCACCGGGGAGGTCACTGAAGGGTGGGAGGCCAGCAATTGTTGCAGCAACCAGTTATACATCCTCCGACGCCCTCCGGCGCCCGTTTTTCGCACTTCCGGGCTAATGTTGAACACCTTGGGCCCATTTTCTTGAACTTTGAACCACATATTTGTGATGTACACACATGAGAGGACCCTAAAAGTTCATGGCCGGCCATGAATTCATGTCTTTTTTTTATTTTTCATTTTTTTCTCTTTTTTTTTTTTCTCTTGCTCTAAATTTTGCCTCCATGGATATAGCAGGGGTGTTTTTGGCTTTAGCAGGTGCTAGTTCTTACATTTTCTGTTTTTGTAAATTGTTGTACATCATAATACACAGATGCACGTAGAATGTATTAATATTAAGATTTTTATGGGCAAACCTGAGTCTTTTGCTGCATAACGCATCTGATTGCTTCTTTTTGTGCATGATTTTTGGATTTTGGATATGTTATTTTGTGGGTACACTACAAGAATTAATACTTTTGGCAACAAAAAAATTGGTCGCTAAAAGTCTATTTTTGGTCGGCAAAAGTTATCTGCGACCAAATTTTTTGGTCGCTACTTTAGTCGCCAATTGCGGGTCGGCAAAAGTAATTCGCGACCAAAATTTTGGTTGGTCGGCAAAAGTCGGATTTGCCGACTAAATTTTTGGTCGCGAAATATATCATTATCGCGACTAATTCATTTAGTCGCTAAAACACTTTGGTAACGAAAAGTGATATTTTCCCGACCAAAAAGTTTGGATGCCAATTATCACATTCAACGACCAAAAAGTTTGGTCGCCAATTGTGACATTCCACAACCAAAAAAGGTTTTGGTCGCCATTTGTTACTTTTCGCGACCAAAACTTTTGGTCGGCAAAAGTGAGTTTCCACGACCAAGAGCTATTTTGGTCAGTAATAGATGTATTTTTTGCGACCAAAACTCTTGGTCGGCAATTATCATTTTTTGCGAAAAAAAATTATTTATTTGTCGCGACTAATAAATTGGTCGCCAAAGCAGGAAAACAATACACTTGTAATTCCTAATAATTTATTCAATCCATAATAAACCTATAATTTTAAAGCATCACTCAAATTAACTGAATCATTAACATTCGACACAATACATAATTCATTAACATTCGATTTATTAAATTTCTGTCAAACAACCAGACATTTTTCCAATTCAAACTGAAACAACCAGACATCCCCACCATGGTGTTCCACCAGACATTGTTCACACAAAATAATGACAACCAAAGAATCCAACAACACCTTTCTAAACTGTCAAACAGCCTACTTCCAAAATTTCTTAAATTTCCCAAAACACTAGTGTACATTATATACATCCTATTTATAGAACTACGTTCCAATTCAAACTGAAACACCCTAGTTTTAGCAAGAACAAAAAGAAACAATTCTACGAGTAAATAATATGTGGAAGCTTTGACTAAAACAAGAACTCTGTGTCAGAAACTTCAAGGACATTGTGGACGCCAATAGGGTTCACACCTGGCCGGAAAGCATTTCCTTCAATATACCTGTGACAACATTTAATCAATTAGCATTTCACCTAGTGTTGGGTAATTGCAATTTGCTTGTACTGATTGAAGACAGAAACTCACATTTCTTTCAAGAAAGTGTGCTTATAGAATGCATCCGGGATTCTCCCAGTAAATTGATTATGATCCAGGTACCTGCATATTTCAGTACAACAGTAAAATTAACACCACCACAAAACTCTTTTGGAAACATAGTAACACTTTTTCCTTACTAATAACGAACACCACCACAAAACTTTTTTTTTGAAATGTTTCTATTTTCATGCCAATTGGAACAACATTTATATCAAAATGAAATTTTGATCCTTAATATTAAACATATAACTCCTCCGAGTGTATCAAAGAAAATTGTTCTAAGTTGTAACAACATATCTAAAGCTAGAGACAGTTTTCATAATAGAATAATACATACATATTAATTTTTTCAGAATTGATAAACATTTTTTTTAGATTTGATAAACATTAATAACACTAAAAAATGGTTTCAAACTATCAAAAGCATATTTAACATGTACTGGCTTTTTTAAACTAGTAGATGTTTATGGAAAAGTGTGTTGTATTGTATTGTATCTCTCTCAATACTCAGTTGTTCTTATCAATTGATCTTTTGATATAAAAACAGCAGCCTTTTATGATATATCTCAGATTTTATTACTGAAAAAATAAGGTCACAACTGACAATATAATATCAATTTTGAAAGATTAAAACTATTTTGTGAATATTAAATGCTTTCAGTTTTTTTTATTATTATTATTTTACAGTTATCATCAAACTAGAGGAAAAGGCAAGCACTAAACCACCAAAAAACTAATAGAAATACATAAAGTTCAAAATCAATTCACTCCACTAAACCACCAAAAAATCATATAAAAATACATAAGAAAAGCAAATTCAACAGGAAAGTATGTAAATACATAAAAATGAATTATATCATACCTTTCAAGGTAGTCTTGGAAGAAGGGGAGAGAAGGATCGGAGAGGATTGAGGAATTGGACTTGCAATCATCGATGAATTGCTTTAACTGGTTCAAGTTTGTGATCAGAGAGGAGATTGCAAAGAGGTCAAATCGTTCGATATAGAGGAGCGTGTAGAGATCGGTTAGGGTTTGAGATCAACTTGATTAACAAAATCTATAATTGTGATCTATAGCCCCTGTTGGTTAAAGAGAAAATATTAGGTTAGATGAACCTAATACAACCAAGATATGCCTAGTTCTGGACAGTTCAGTGTTTTGGTAAACTCTGCATTACTCTTTTTTTTCTATTTTTTTTTTCTTTTCCCCTTTCCCTCCACTTTCCCGGTAACCAAATAGTAAGTATTTAAAGCATTTAGTAATTTATGAATAAGTAACTTCTTCCAAGCCCTTTCATAAAATTGATCTAAAAACTTTCCATTAATCCTTTTTTTTGTTTTTTGTTTTTTTTGGTTAGTGAGATTTTATTACCAAAAACAGATAAGTACATCAACAAGGCAGGCATACCTTCCAAATACCTCTCAGGACATTGCACCACTGGAACCCCAAAAAGTTGCTTCAAGTGATCCCTCCAATCAGCATCATTTGGACTAAAAGAGAACTGATTTCTCATAATTAATCAGCTAACCAGAGGCTTGTTCATATGTAGATATAATTTTTTGTTTTTAATTTTGAAATTAAGTCCCTCCATAGTATCCCTCCCAAAAACCAAGTTATCATCTGCATAAAAAAATATGATGAGATACACTAGGATTTCCCTGAGCAACCTAAAGACCATGTATCACATCCTCTTCTACACCTCTGGAAAGCATAATAGATGAAAAGACGATCTCCTTACCTAACACATCTTGAGGGATGAATACAATTCTTTGTTTCACCATTAATAAGAACTAAGTATGCAAGGAGGAGAGTGTTGATAAGTTCTCTGAAACTCAATTTAGAGATCCATTCTTGCAATGATCTTACCTTTGGAATCTTCTATAACTCTTATCTATGCCAAAATTGAGAATTCTTCTATGAATTGGTCAATTGGAAGTTAAGAAGACACTAGTTACTCTCATTGCCTCAATTTTCCTATGCTCCCTTATTCAAATTTACAACCATTTAAGTCACAGGATGAGACAGTTGAGAAAATCTTCTATGTTCCATGTGAACAAACTCAAAAGTCACCACTATCACTTTCCAAAGGTGATGTTTGCTTAAGGTTACATTTTAGGAGGGGTAACCTAACCTGGAAATGGTGAATTTTATGAACCAATTTAAAGTTTGGTATGTACCCCTGTCCAAATACATGATCCTATTATTTGTCACTGTGTAAACAAAGTAAGTTAATTATGAGCCGTGATTTCCTTTTATTTTCAGTTACACTTTCTAAGAAAGAGTTGTATTTAACAATAAATAAAGATAAATTACACTAGTTAGCATTGGCTTTTGTCAGAAAAGAAAAAAAGAAAAAATTACTCGTGTTCTCATTTTTGGGAACACAAGCAGCAGATAGATTGGGGCAGTGACAACGAAAAATACTAGAATTTTTTTGTTCAATAGTTTTGACAGGCAAAGAGAGTCAGGAGAAATAGTGGATGAGGTTCTTAAAATTACATAAAGAGAACAAGGGAACATGACTTAACATATTCAAAATGCAACATAGAGGAATTTGATGGAGAATAATGATTGTTCAGGCTGAAGAGGTTCTTTGTCCAAGTGTTTTCTGAAACCAAACAATACACGGGGAAGCAAAATACTATAGTAGTCCCCCCAAAAAACAAAGAAAACAGAAAATTGCATTATAAGTAGAAGAGATTTCTAAAACTAATGAACAAGATAAGACTTGTTTTATGCATTATAGTTTTACAATGCTAGTAAGTCGTCCTACTGCTAAATCGAACTAGGATATATAGCTCATTCCGGATCTCTGGTATTCAGCTCAAGTACTTTTCTATGGACAAACATAAGACAATTGCAATGAATATTTTGAACACTTCCACATTTCAGTGGCAGTCTCAAGAAGCTCTAAAAGTGTAATACAATATCTAATTTCTTTTATAGAATTGTACCAACTAACGATATATTGGATGATCTGTTGACTGCTGATAAAGAAGAAGAAAAAAAAGGAAAGAAAACAGGGTTTCCATGAATAGCATGCACTTTTTCACATCAAAACAAATAGAGTTGAGGATAATGCTACTAAGACCATAAATTTAATTTCTAACTATCATTGTTTCTGCAACTAAATAGAACAGGCTTGAAGATTTCATAGTTTGCACCACCACGACAGTTTAGATCTTATAACAGACCAGGAAATTCTTGTTGAAGGACCTGAGTCATTATATTGATTTCCAATTCTGCTGTGCTAAGTGATCTTGTCACTTCAAATATTGATGAAGGAATTTACTGCTTTATCAATTTATTTTATTTTGTGATGAAAGATACAAACTCACATTCAAAGTCCACTATTTGATAAACCACAAACCAAAATTTTTAAACATTTCTGTATATTGCAATTTTCTCAAACTATGATTCATATTCAATTTTCTCAGACCATTCCCACGGCTACCTATGTTTCAATTGATCTTAATGATGTTCAGATAAAGAAAGCACAATCACAAAAGATAAGTAATTGACTAAACCCGATACCTCCACATGCAAAGGCATGTATATCACCTGGGCACTCTGATTCTGATTACACTACGCAATACTCGAATGGTGGGGTACCATATATATAGGTAAATTGTATAATTTTATATTTTTTTGAATCCATAATTAAATATAATATGAGTCATATGTAAATATTTTATCAGTTATCATTAAAATAATATCATAATTAAAGAAAAATTAGTCATAATTAAAGAAAAAATAATATAAATAAAGTGCATATAATACACCCTTTTAAGGGTGTCTATATTAGAATTTTCCCACCCACAACAAAGTCATCAAAAAAAACTAAAATATACGGGAAGACTATAGTACTGTTTGCTACATGCCATGGAGAAAAATTATTTATTAAATTAAAATATGTGAAGAAACTGTAAATTTACTTTTCCTCTGTCCCTCTCTCTTTCTCTCTCAATATTGTCTTGTTTCCACCAACAACAAACCAAATAAAAAGCATTAAATTTTTTCCATACACTAAATAGAAGAGGCAATTCCCATAGAAAGCACTCAAGAGCAAATATAAAGATCAAAGTTCTATGGAGAGGATTCAGCATATTTATTCCAAACCAAACCAAACCAATTCGGCATATTTATGGCAAAAGAAAAAAGTAACTTAAAATATATAGCAAATTTAGCACAGAGTCTTGCTTACCTATGTGATCCAGTTGGAATGTTTGAGATAGAAAACTTATCTATGCTGCTGTAAGTTAAATTAGAATGCTCCAAAGATCCATTGGTATAATTAACTGGCACCAATGAGGATGATTGACATATCAGAAAAAAGCAAGACAGATCTGGAGCACACCACCAGAATTGATCTAGAGCACACCACCACAAGCATCCAGACAGATCTGATGCAGACCAGCAGAATTGCTCCAGATCAGTCCACCTTCATGACTGATGCAATACTTCACCATGCAGACCACCAAAGGAAGAGAAAAGAAGGAAAAAAAAGAAATAGAGAGGAGCTAATTCAGAGCAGTTTTGGACCCCAAACGCCCCGGTTTTGCCTACTTTGTCACACTTCTATGTCTTACATAACTAATAATGCGTCCTATCGAAGCGTTGCTTGCTTTCACAAGTTTGCTTGATCTAGGCCGAGGTGACCGCTACGATCTCGGGTTGTTTCCAGGCTGTTTCCAACTTTTTGCCCCAAAGCTTGATCCCCCATGAAAAGATGTAATCTCTCTCGCTGGACGAATTACATTTTTTTTTTGAGCTGGTTTTCCCTTGACAGAGATACAAGCAACTTTCATTACTAAATGCATTATTGTCCTAGAAGCAACTCAATCAATAACTAATCCTGTGGCAAGGAAGGATTTTCAACCATACAGAACAATAGCCCACACTTATTCAGGTTTGATGCTTGAGTGACAATAATTGCCAAGCATGCTGAAGTATTTCTTCTCTATTTCTATGTTACAACCATATCAATGAACTACTGTGTTAGACTTCCTACTTATGTAGAAACTTTGTTCTACCTTAGAATATAAATAAGAGAAAATATGAATGTCTTTACCAAACATTGCCTCAAATTATGGGACATCTTGATTCAAATCCATACCTGAAATGCATGCCAAAGTCCAAATATAAAATTGGTGGTCAACCTCAAACAACCCAGTCTGCTGCACTACTTTAGAGTATTTAATCCACATAAGCTTAGTTTGATAGCCCAAGACGAAGTGCACGATAAACCCTAAAGAATGAGGAGAGGGGGTATTTCTATAGAAGGTAGGTGAGTAAACACCTGTCTTGCACTCATTGCAAAACAGTTCCAAGGGCCAATGTCAAGAACACTAAATGTTTATCTTCACATGCTACTAATGATATTCCACAACAACCAAGCACATACCTTTATATCTATATAATACTTCAGCTATTGTTAAATCATCAGAAATTCAATCAATAGAGACAACATTTTCACTTAGGGAGAGCCGGTCAATTCTTGGCTTGGTTGGGGCTAGGGCTGTAGATCAAGCTTTGTTGCATGTGAAAAAATTCATATAAGCCCATTAGGAGCCCTTTTGAGCTTGATTCTTGTGCATAAATTGGTCGAACTTGAACTTGATTTCAAGATTGAGTAGATAGAGATCAACACGTAAAAGTTGAATGACATTTTGTTACCAGCTTAAGGGGCTGCTTCCTTAGCTTTTTAGACTATAAAGGCCAGCTTTTGGGCCTTTTTTAGCCTAAAATACCAAAAAAAAAACGCATGGCTTTTAAATAGGTGACTGATAGGGATGAAGGAAATCCTAATTTTTTGTAATTCAAACTTGAATATTTTTACCTCACACTAGACAACATATTTTTTTAAGCTTAAAAGTAGCATTTAAAAACACAGCTTCATAAAAGTTAAGTTTAGCTTTTCAGCCTATTTTGAAGGTGAAAAAACAAACAAGCTAAAAACCTAAAAAGTTTTACTTTTACCAAACAACAATCCTTCCCAAAGTACAACAACTTAAGCATGTGAATTTTAAATTTAAAAAAAAAAAAAAAAAACTCAGTAATTTTTAACATATGGGACCATATCATCATCGAAGTAAGATAATAACTTGCCATGGCCAACCATTACCTTTAGCCATCATCACAATTTTGAAAGTATTGCATGAAGTATCAAGTAGGGCAAGTCTACTGAGAAGCTTGAGTAGGTCATTGCAAAATTAATTCAAGCTTGATCTAATCTTATAGTAGCCATCTTCATGTGAGTTAAGTTTTAATTATTATGATCAAAATTAATTCCCACATAAAAGCATATATACATGAAGGATTTGTTAGATGAAATTATTTGTTATGTAATTATAGATGAAACTTTATTTTTTGATGATGCACCCAGTATGATGCCATATGCAGAAAGACAGGCCATCTATTTTATAGTCAATAAGTGGACCTCACAAGCCAGCACTTCACTACTTCTACTCAAATATGCAAAACATATAGAAAAACACAAAACAAAAACCAATGGGTGAAATTTAAAAATATCATATTGTACGTACCATAAGTGCCTTGAAATTTAAACAAGCATGCTACCAATCTATTTTTACACAAGTGTTTGTGCTTTATTTTCTTTCACAACCTCTTCTTTTCCTGAAAACTTAAAGCTTCAAAACATCTTGTACATATCAACATTGAAGATGAAAGATAAACATATACATATTCTACCCTTTTCGACATGATTGTGTCAGGATTAGGGTATTAAACTAAAAAACATAAGACCCCATATGTTTAGGATTTGTCTCCTAATTTTGTAATGTCTCACATTTGATTCAACAATAAGGGGATTAGTTGTGCGGACAGATTAATACTCCCTCAAAACCATGGGTTAAATTTCTCAGGGCCTTGGCATAATTAATTTCGCACGAGTACTCGTCGGATTAACTTTCCTGCATCCCAACTCTTACTGAACATAGTACTGTAATTTCATAATATATATAAATCTATCCAACATCCCATGGTATGAAAAAAAATCGGATCCACGGTATTACTTAGACCATTATACTTTCCCTTAAGAGTAAACATGACTGAACTTGCTAGCACAATGGGAAAAGAAACTTCAAACTGAAAAATGATGCTCATGTAAGAGAAAAAGAATTATAGGAAAAGATTATAAGAATTATAGGAACATGAATTATAGGAAACTTCAAACTGAAAAAAAGTCACTAGAAGAAAAATATTCTAAGTGAATGCTCATGTAAGAGAAAAAGAATTATAGGAACACATTCTTCATGTGATGTCAACTGTTTTGCCAAAGTCCAGCGCAGTAATTTAATTAGAGCAATGATAGAAATGTAGAAAACTAAACATAGACTTTCTGCTTCTGTGAGACATTTGTAAATTTGTGAGATATTTTTGTGTTTATTATGTGTTTGATTCTCTATGTATTTAGACTTTCTTATTTTATTGGGTACTTGAATAAGGTCTAAAGATCAATGATATAAATGCACAAACATAGATCATATTAGGATTAACTACACTCAATGGTACATAAAAGTACGTGCTTTGTTAATAGGCATGTCACTACAAGAACGAAAAACAATAGCTAGCAAGTGGGTAAATAGAAATACATTCGTACATATCCAGGAATATCCATTGCCAACATTGTATACTCAATTCAAAAAATTTAATGGGTATTCACAGCTAGCATCTTATTATGATTTTAATTGGCTATGTGATAGAGATACTCCCAATATCTCCAAAGTCTGCAGTAGTCCTTTTGGTTGAACGAATCTTGCCACTGAGTTCATTGTTATTAAAAACCCTGCTCAAATCAATTCACAAAATTAATTAAAGCCAGTCAAGGCTATATAGCTTACAAGCTATTCACAAAATTAAAGCCATTTCTTATTTTTGGGATGGTGATAACAAATTCTATTCTAAATTAAAGTGTGATCTTTGGGAGTGTGATTAAAAAAGGTCTTTTAATCACATCTTTTAAGTGTCATTAAAAAATAATTTCATCACATCTTTTAAGTGTGATTAAAAACATCAAAAAATGAGTTGCGTAGATAGAAGATAAGAAAATGACAAAGGAAAGCAAAAAAATAATTGAAAATTATAGTACTAAAGTACGCCATCTCGTATAAAGAGAAAAAAAGCTAGAGGGGGAAACAAAGCAAACTGAAGGCAAAACCACATCATCCCACCAAAAAATAATGATTAGTGCGACTCAAGATATTGATTTTTGCGGTATCTGTTCATCAAGAGACAAAGGGAACTCTAATCACATGGCATGCAAAAGACATCACAAATACATGGAACTTAAGGCACGCAAGAGCATGAGGTGCAGTGTAGTAAGAAACTAACCTGACAATTTCCATCTCCATGAACCATAAACTCCACCAACTCATATAACTACAATCTGAAGAAGAATAGACGTCTCCAGCATCAAAAACTATATATATGAAATAAAAATCCCACAGATATATATGTATGTATCATAAACACTCACAGATATATATGTATGTATCATAAACACATATATACTAGTCTATAGATACATATATATATATATATATATATATAAGAGAAGAAGAAGTTAAGATGTGAAAAAAGATGAAGTCAAAACCTTTACCAAGGATAGATTGGGAAAGAATCAGAGTTATTCATCATCGACACAAATGTTTAAAAAGAAAAACCTAAAAATCTCTACACTACCAAAACATCGATAACACAAATGTTTCAAAACCCCAAAATCGAAACCATATGTCAATCGAACAAACTAGCCAAATACAAACTAATTGAATATAGATCCGAGTAGTTTCATAATTGAAAATGAATAAAAACAATTGAGATAGAATGCAAAATCAAAATGAGTATTGTGTAGCCATGGAAAATTCCTTATCTCGAGTCATTACGAAATGAATTAGGGCATCGAATCATCAAATATGTTCTCCACTCCTTTCCAAAGCAAATGAAAAAACTAAACCATTGATCTCAAGCTCGCCCAAGGAAGCTCAAAATACTCCTTCCTGTTGTCATCATTTTTGAAGAATCAAAATAAAGAAAACATGACAAATAATATCTGAAGTGAAAATAAAAAGTGAATTTTATAAAATCATATAATGTCAACTTTTTCAAAGGCAAAATCTTGTTAAGATCAACCACAGTTGCATGCCTCTACATGTATACCGAGTAACATATAAAGAAACCAAAAAGTTGCACTTTTGGACCAAAAAGTAAATATATAAAACAAGCAACAACTGACTATACAAGAATTTTTCGTAACAAATGACAACGACAACACATTTTTTGTATT